GAAACCAAATTTTGTAGTTCTGTTCCGCATTTTACCACAGCACACTGTACACAAACAAAATGTTTATGGCTCACTGAGCTGATCCTATCCTGGCCCGAGACAGAAGCGAAATTGCTGAATGTGAGGTAATCGGTTATTTCAGTTTGACCACTTCCTTAAACTCCTGCTATTACTCATAGTTATGGGTTTCCAAATAAAACCTCTGACTCTCCTATAGGTACAATGGATTTTCGTTCTCGTAAATCGAATATTTATCTGGACTTCTAGGGTAAAGTAGACATTATGATTATATTTACCTGTAAATTGCAGCATCAGGGTGAAGACTTTTTTTCCCTCAGGGTTTTCACCTTTCATTGATAGGACAGTAAAGAGTATAGACAGGAAAGTGAGGGGAGCAGAGAGAGGGAAAGGATCGGCATAGGACCTCGATCGAACTCTGGTCAAGACTCACAATGAACACCGAAGTGCCATGTGTCAACACAATACCCACTATGCCATTGGTGCCAACAGGAGGAAGGCTTTTTGATGTAGTGACAGCGCGGCTTTTTCTATTAATCATTCTTCTGTGTCTTTTGCATAGCTCAAGCATCAATTGAATAATTATGCATTCTTAGAATAAGGCTGAGATCATTTAACAGTGTATTTACCTTTTAAACAAAGCTTCTGTGCATCCAGTTTTTTTTCAGCACCAATTTGTTTTTATTTGTTGGTTTAGTTTAGTTTCCAAAAGTTATGGAATTAGTTGTTAATTTTTCTGTGGGAAAGAAAAACTAAATGAAGCAAATAAACCAAAGGAAATTGAGAGAATGCATAAGCTGTGACATTGTATTGTACAAATTGTGTTCATATACAAGTCTACACTTTTTCCTGAAGCCTCTGGGCAATAAGTGAGCACCGCCTTGTGGTACCATAAAAATCAGCACTTTCCAGAACCTTTTGGTTAACTGTTACTTGGTGGTGGAATGATCTGCCCAATCCCAAGTGGATTGCTGAACTAGTGGCAGCATTTATACAATTTAGAGCAGGGGCATACAATCTGTATTGGTATTTATTGACCAAACACCATTGTCAATAACGATTTAAAAAAAAAAGTTTGGTATGAAGTCTATAGTTTTATTAAAATGTGCCTGCTGTGCATGTACCTTGAAAGCAGTGCCAACAAGCTTAGGGTGTTTGTCATTTCCAATAAAGTAAGCGATGTGCACATGGTGTGCAAGTGGCGCACACATGATGCGCGTGCATTTTCCAGCTAAACCTAGATAGAAAAACATCTGAACTTTTCCGTATGCTGCATGCGCACCACAATTAATGTAAACTAATCAATCTGCATCACACTTTGTAATAAAAAATATACACATTTCAGTAATAACGATAGACTAATTTCTGCATCCAAGCACTGCAGTGCTTTTTACTTTTTTCATAAACTTGGATCGGAGCTGTTTGTCATTCTCTGAGTAAACAGTAGATTGTCGCCTAGATACAGTAGGATGCCAGGGAGTGTGAGCGCAAAGCACATTGAAAATGGTGAAGGAATCCACACACTCTTGCTTTTCATATGTGTGTTATTGGTTGCGTCATTGTCACTTCAGGTCAGAAAAAACAACACATGCAAAAATAAGTGCCATGGCTAGCAGCAGTGGAGAGATTGTAAATAATAAAAAAAAAGATGTAAGGATGTAGCCAGAGTGGCTTTTTGGTTTCTTTTGTTGTGCATCCCAGCCACTAGTACTACATCTAAAAGATTTTTTTAGCATAGGGCCAATGTAGTCATCCAACTTCACTATTTGTAATGTTGCAATATGTATTTGATTAATGATGATTAGTTGCTTTACTTGAAAGCTCAAGATTTGGTTATGATAATTTCTTTGTGCAAGTACTTTGAGTATTGGCTCTATACAATGAGTCACTTGGTAGTTTCTTTATTTGTACAGTAAGTTGCTTTAGACAATATACATATATTGGTTGGTATAAATGAAAATATCATTTTTTGTTTAGTGGGAAACTGTGTAGATGGGGCATACTTTAAATATATTAACAAGACTTTATTGTACTTTTTACATTAAACATTTTCAATCTACCTGCCTGTGAGTTATAGCTTAAGATTAATAATGGATTGTTCTGCAGGATAAAAGGTATGAATAATATCACCATGTTTAAGCTGTTTTTGAGCAAACACATACATATTGAGATAATGTATTAAATTCCAGCTTTTAGGTTTCTTTGTGCATTTTTTAATTACCCCATTGGTGATTTGTCATGTTTTCAAGCATATTGTTTTACTATACGTTCATATATTTTTTACTGAAAAGCAAGTAAAAAGTGTGCTCAAGCACAATGTTAGCAGAATTGTGTGAATATATCTTGACACTCAGCACAGGTAAACGCTGTCCATTCTTTTACCATGATCCATCAGATTTATGGTAATCTGCTTAATTTAACTACCTCTTCCAACATATTACAGTACTCGTTTAACCCTTTTTTCCGCTTCTTCAAGGACAAACGATGAACGTGATGGCAGATCTCTGTGCTACAGTCCCCGAGCTCTCCTGAAACAGCAGATCCTTTTTCAGCACCAGCTGTTCTTCCAGATAAACTCTGCTGCGTGCTCACAGATTCTCTTAATATGATTCCGTAGGGTCGGGCTCAGGAGAATAGACGCAAAACAAGCGTGCCAGGAGAAAGAGAGCGTTGAATTTTTCATCAGCAGGCCCTGGTAGTGCCGCAGCACTTTTTTAGCAGGCGGCCGGCTCATTCATGAGCAGATGTTCAGCGCAGGTCCAAGCTGCAGTTAGCATGAACTCTGCTGCCCTCTCAGCCGTTGGCTGCAAGGACGTTGGCAGCGACCCCGGCATCTGAGAATTCATTCCGGCAAAAAGCGTTGAGCGCCGCTTCGCCCAGACCCCTTTTTTTAGCCATTCTGCCCAGCCCAGGAGCCGGCCAGGAATGGAGGAGGGCTTTTCTTTTGACAGGCCATCAGTCTTCGCTCTGACACTGATGAAAGACTCGCCCAGGTCAACTCAGGGGACGGGCCCCAAAAATTCCTGAAGACAATTTTGCTCAAGTTTATCATTAATTTCTTTATGACGCCCTCTGTATGAAAATAAGCCACCTGGCAGGAAAACTAAAACAAAAAACAAAAGCGGCCTTTTTTCCTCTGGTGAAGGTACCCTTGAAACAGGGAATTGTTATATCAGATTAGCGCAGGTGGTTTAGGGGAACGCGTTGGTCAGGCTGGTTGCTACGCTAAAGCCCAGCTGCTGCGCTGGTTAGCCAGGTGGTTTGGTTAGCACGATGACCTCAATACACCCCAAGAGACTCCAATAACAACCAATACAGATGAAGCATTATCGTGTTTCATTTACATAACACTGTACGTCTGTGTAGCCTATTCCCGTTAAACGCCAAACTGGCATATGTTCTACACTGAAAGTGTGAAATGTTTTTCTTCTCTTTCGCAGCACCGCGTGTAAAGCTGTAATTGAGGGATGATGAGGTTTTTAGTCTTCTTTTTTTTTTTTCTCCCTTCAAGCACTTGTTTCTTCAGCACGTCTCCTACTTCACACTATCTAATTGGCCGTTTTCAGGTTGGGTTTATGAGAGCAAAACTAATTAGTGTTTCTAAATTCAGAGAGCAAGAAAGAGGGAGGAAGAAAAAAAAGGAAAACATGGTTGAATGGATTGTTCTGGTTTCCTCTCTGGTGTCAAGCTCATAACAATGAAATAAAGAGTCTAATCACTTTCAAACTGCTGTTTTTTTTTTTTTTTTTTTTAAACCAGCACTGAATGTCACTTTCTCTCCTGGCATTTTGTTTGGCACGATCACAGGTCCGGGAATAAAATGAGCGCTTGCTCTTTTTACTAACTTTTTCCTTTGTGATTCGTGGGAAGGAGCAAAAAGAAAAAAAAAGGCAACATAAAAACAATGTGCATGTTTTTAGGTGGGGTCATTTCTTCTTTTGATTCGGAATGTCCTGGTGAAAGACGGGGGAGGGCGGAGAGTTTACAGTAGCGTTGACTTTTCGCCTGTTACCTTTATTCAGAGAGCTCCAGCTGCAGCGCGCCCTCAGGAAGGCCAAACACACACACACACACACACACACGATGTGAAAGAAAGCCCTGTTTGAGTTGGCACACGCAACTTTTGCTGCCTCTGCAAGAAAGACACCAGCGGCGGCTGCGCTGGCCGGGCGGCCTGTCGTTCTCCTAATCAGGATGTGCCTTTTCCACCTCTCTCAGGAAACACATTTGTGCCTCTCCCTCCCCTCAGCGGCAGGGAGAAAGTCGGCGAAGATGAGTGACAGAATCAGCGTCCGGAGGGGATTGGGCTAATCTGAGTTTAGTAGCGCTCCCTCAACACCTCACCCTCCCAGCCTCCACTGGGCCTTCATTTATATTGAATAAAAAAGTTTATAGGTCAGTTTAACAATGTGCCGTAAAACTCACACTATTTTTATTTTTCCACCTCGCCGCCGGAGGGATTCGCGTGGAGAGGGCCAGTAATTAAGAAGCTGTGAATCCAGGGTTAGGGAGGAAGAGTGTTTAAATGCAATTAGAGCATCCGCTTGAATCAATTTGAACCCAATTACAGTTTTCTTGAATGTGCTATTATTTGTTTAATCAAGGGATTTTTGCCCTTTTAAGATGCTAAAAATGTAACGCCAGATTATTTAAGCCCTGTGCGAAAATAAACTTGACGGAAGCAAGTAATGAACAATTGTTTCAAAGTGACCTCTCTCCCTAGTTACCTTGTTCTTCTTCGGCTGGAAAGAAAACTCCATTTGATTTGTCTGGAGATAAAGCTATCACAATATCGGCTGGATAATTAGCACGCAATCTACATCAGTGATTTTTGGGGAACTGGATATGGAGCAGCAGTCTCTGATGATTCAAAGTTTCAGCAGATTTCCTCATTTCTCTCACTGATGTGTGCTGTTTTTCTTCTTCTTCTTCTTCTCTCTCTTCTGTCTGGCCTCTCTTTCTACCTGCTGTCTGCTTTGCAGGCAGGAGAGTGCAGCGCTCCAGCCGTGTGGATGCTGAATGGTATGTCTTTTCACACTTTTAACTGTGAATGAGTGTGTGTGTTTGAAATGACATATTCTAAAATGACTCTTCCAAATGAATGTCATTGCAACAGATAACACACTATTATACCAAGTGGCATTTTCAAGCGAATGCTGTTTGCAAAACTACCCTTTTTAAATGTTAAATATTTTGAAAACTGTTTTTGCGTAACTGCTTTAAAGCCAAAAAGTCCCAAATTCAACATATTAGATATATTTAGCTTATATGCAAGTACATTAATAACAGTATAAAAGTATTTTATAAACATTTATTCTCTTATTTCTAATATTAAAATGTATATTTAATTCATGTAATACTTTATTAAATGTTTTAGATGTAATTTCTATTTAAATAATTTTAGGTTTATTAGATATTTGTTTATTTGTTTGATTGTTTAAAAAAAAATGCCATTTATTTATTTAGTTAATTAATTTGTTTGTTTGTGTAACTAGATTTAATATTTAATTTCTAATGTCTAATTTTTATACGGTTGATGTAATATTTATCTGTCTATTTATTTATTCAATTAGGATTTTTTGTGCTTATTTAAAATAAATGCTATTTATTCTTTTAGTTATTTATTTAATTAGTTTGTGTAACTAGATTTAATTAAATTTCTAATGTAATATTTATTATACAGTGTATGCAATATTTATTTATTTATTTATTTATTTATTATTTATTAATTTAGTAATTGTGCTTCTTTAAAATAAATTATATTTATTTAGTTAGTTATTAATTTAGTTTGTTTGTTTGCGTAACTAGATTTACTATTTAATTTCTAATGTAATATATTATTCAGTGGATTTAATGTTTATTTATTTATTTATTTATTTGATATTTATTTATTAATTTAGTTATTGTGCATATTTAAAATAAATGCTATTTATTTATTTAGTTATTAATTTAGTTAATTAATTTGTCAGTTTGTGTTACTAGATTTACTATTTAATTTCTAAGGTAATATATTTATTATACAGTGAATGCAGTATTTATTTATTTAATTAATTATTTATTATTATTTTAGTAATTGTGCTTATTTAAAACAAAATTATATATATTTACTTAGTTATTAATTTAGCTTGTTTGTTTGTGTAAATAGATTCACCATTTATTTTCTAATGTAATATATTATTATACAGTGGATGCAATATTTATTTATTTAGTAATTGTTGTGCTTATTTAAAATAAATGCTATTTATTTGTTTTAGTTATTTAATTTGTTTGTGTAACTAGATTTACAATTTAATTTCTAATATAATATATTGTAGTGATACAATATTTTTTATTATTTATTTTTTTATTTAGTAATTGTTGTGCAAGTTTAAAATAAATTATATTTATTTATTTAGTTTGTTATTAATTTAGTTAATAACTAGATTTACTATTTAAAATCAAATTTAACATATTTATTATACATTTGATGTAATATTTATCTATTTATTCAATTATTAATTGTTGTGCTTATTTAAAATGAATGCCATTTATGTAGTGAAGTTAGTTAGTTTGTTTTTAGCTAGATTTAATATTTAATTTATAATGTAATACATTTATTATACAATTGATTTAATTTTTTTATTTATTTATTTACTTTTTCATTTATTTACATTTATTAATTTAGTAATTGTTGTGCTTATTTAAATAAATGCCATTTATTTATTTAGTTATTAATTTTGTTTGTTAGTTTGTTTGCTTGTGTAACTCATTTAGTAATTGTACTTATATAAAATAAATGACAACTAGGTAAGTATTTATGCACAAAACAAATCTGTTGATACTCGCAAACGTCAACATGCTAATGTCAGTTTTAAGACTGCAGAGAGTTTGAGAGTTGTGCAGTGACAGTCATTTTTGATCCATGTCTCTCACGGCCTTCACTTCCTGTGTGCTGTGTAAACACAACAAACTAACCATGACACTGCCCACATGTCACAATGCCCTACTTGTTTACAGTAAGCATTCATATATATTCATGACCTTCAGTCACAAAAACCCTTCCTTTGCACTGAATTGCATCCCATTTGCACCCTTATAAGCATATTGTCACTGCAACAAATGATAAGCAGATACAGATTTGGAAAAAAAAAAACTGCTGAAAAAATAAATAAATAAATAAATTAATTAATTAATTAATTATAACTTAGACTTGTCATAGCATTTATATACAGCATCTCTGCAACAAATGCTTCTTTTATACTCAGTTGTCAGTCGCTTAGGATAAAAGCATCTCCTAAATGAGTAAATGTAAAATTATATTCAAAGCAAATCTAAATATTCCGCTTCTATCATATTTTAATCTGTTTCTATACATGCATTGTGAGTTTAATGGAGCTCCTGTAAAAACAAATGTACTCCTTCGAGCCCATACAGGCGACGTTTTAGAGAAGCGCTTTTAACAGTTACGCCTGCTTGCAAAACTGTGTACGTTACAGATTGATAGTAAATGGAAAACATGAATGTAAATTGTGTCATTTGATAATGTAAATGGAGAGCAGAGCTATTTTCCCCCACCCCCGTAAAGAAATCAGCCCTATTTACATAGTCAGTTGTGCTTATGAGACTTATGGAAATCAATCTCTTGTCATTTTCCAACTACACAATTTCACGTTAGTTCAGAGATCACCGATTTGAAAGTCAATACGGTGACATTGGCTCCGCTCCGTGTTGCTGACATGAATTAATCATAACAAACAAAACAACACGCTCCTCCAACCAACTTTCAGATGAGTTGTAATGCATTAATCCTTCCCATTGCATGCGAATGAACACGAGATGCACGGCAATTTCCTGTTGAATATTGATCTGTCTGGGTGTTTTAAGGAAATTTAGCTCTTGTGAAAGTCCAAAGTTTTGGCCATCTGAGTTAAAAAGCACTCCAAAATACGTTCGAGTGCAGGTTATTATTTAGTTATTCAGATTTATTTCCAGAACCGAGTGCGAAAGCAGGTGCATCGGAGCTTGTCCATTAAAGTGTACTTTGCAAGGTCCGGCTTTAAAGTGGCCGGCAAGGCAACTGCGACAAGAGTTATTGAAGAGGGTCTTCGCTTAAACGTCTTGCACATGGTTTACCACTTTCTTTAAAAGCACTTTTAGGACTCATAATTGCTACTTACATGTTGCAGATGGGTTATGACTAATGAGAGGACTACATTTATGAGCACATGAAAGCTCTCCTCGCTGTTGAATATAACCTTTCTAATATTGACTAATTATTTGGGTTAGGAAAGATCTTAAGGCAGACCGCAGTACTTTAATACATTCCATTAGTTACATTAGTCGACACCTTTCAGAGCCTTTCTACCTCATTTTTTATGTCTTTTTTTAATGACGTATTTGATGGCAGCTTGTACAGAATATGATATGTAATAATTTTACTGTGCTGGGATAAATGTTTAAAAATACACTTTTAATGTTTTCTGTGTTGCTTTTTAAAATTGTATTTATTTATTATTTATTTATATATTATATTATTATTTATTTATTTATTCATGCATAACAGTAGAAAGCATATTATTAAATATCAAAATATAAATATCTAAAACTGAAGTTAATAATATAACATATAAAATGTAAAATATAAGAAAACATAAAACAAAATCAATCAGTGGTATGGAATGACAATGATAGTAATTTAATAATAGCAATAATGGCAGCAACTACAATAATAATAAAACGGTAATGACATTAATAATGAGAGTAAAAAAGACAACAACAATAATAATAATAATAATAATAATAATAATAACAATGCCCCATTCACACTAGCATGACCTTGTAGCTTTGGGTGGCGACCTGCTGCAAATGCAGGTCTGTGTAGGTCTACAGCACAGAGAATACAAACCGCCTCTGAGCGAGCTGAGAGAGGATCACGTGAGCTCTACTGGTTCTCCTATTTGCTGTCGCTCAAGAAAGTTGATCTTTATTTTCATAAAGTTGAAAAATACTTGGTCGCCAGTGGTTGTTGTCGCTCGCGTAGACCGAGGTTACTGGAAGTCACTCAGTCTACGTTAAAATGAACGATCGTTTTGCCGATTTGAGTCGCTCGTATCGTGAATGAGCTTAACGCCACAAACTACTACTGCTACTGTTACAGCAACTGCTGCTACAACAACAGCTATACCTACTGTTACTACAGCGACTGCTATTACAGCAATTATTACTGCTACTATTATTATTATTACAATGACCATTACTGCAACTACTACTACTACTACAGCAACAACTATTCAATACAATTTTATTTGTATAGCGCTTTTACAATGTAGATTGTGTCAAAGCAGCCTCTCATAGAAGATCATAGTAAACTGAAACAGGGTAGTTCAGTTTTCAGTGTTTAAGCTCAGTTCAGTTTAGCTCCCTTAATTGTGGTTTAATAATCACTACTGAGAGTCCAAACACTGAAGAGTAATCGCAGCTCTACAGATCCCGAACCATGCAAGCCAGTGGTGACAGCGGCAAGGAAAAAAAAACTTCACTAATTGGCAAAAGTGAAGAATTAAAGAAGTCATGAGAGAAACCAGGCTCAGTTGTGGACGACCATTTCTCCTATGACCAAACGTCTTGTGCAGAGATGCAGTCTAGGCGCCGGAGGCTGGAGAATGCTGACCCTCATCGAAGACTCGTCTGTTCCTGGAGCATCACAGGAATCGGAATCATGCTCTCCACTACTACTACAGCAGTTTTTACAACTACCACTACTATTACAATGACCATTACTACAACAACAACAACTACTACTACTACTACTTCTACTGTTACTACAACTACTACTACTACAAATACTACTATTGCAACAACCATTACAACAGCAACAATTACTACTACTATTACTGTGACTACAGCGACTACTACCATAGCAATTATTACTACTACCAGTAGTAATTTTTATTTTTCTGATTGCTGACAAAGGAACAGCAAAACATTAAATGAAGATCTGATTTTGCCATTTTGTGTTGCTTTGACTTTTTTTTTATTTATTC